TAGACACCAGGATTTCCAACTATTTGGCCACAGGAACAAATCCATAAATCAGTAACAAAAAAAAACCAACAAAATAATAATGAATTCAGAAAGCAAGCCTCTCTTTATCTGGTTTCATGTGGAAAAGCCAATTTGCATACCAGACATTGAGCAGCCTGAGCATCAAGAACTACCACAACTCATAGAAATGCATGATAGCTGAATGCATCTCATTATTTATAAATAGTGTCCAGAGTTTTAGTTTTCTGCTCTTTGTTATACTGTGGGAGTTGGGAGGTGTCCTATATAAAGGAGTGCACAACAAATTGAAGACAAAATTCCACAGAAGGGAAGAAAGTTCCTATTAGGCTGAACATGTTTGCATTATTAACCTAATTGTTATTTGAGAGATACATAGTACTTACAATTTGTCTTTTTAATGGAAATATCTGGTTTTACTTTTAAAGCTCAAATTTAGAAAATAGTCATGAAAGCAATTAGAGTCCTCCAGTGAATTGAAACTGGGGTTAGACATAACTCATTCCAGTTTGTATGTAGATCTTGATCATTTTAACAGTGAATATCCTCTAATCTGACATAATAATATAGTCGGTATAATTTAGGCATCTTCATTCTCCAGGCTTTTCATGATCAGATGGCAAACCTCCACTGATCAGAAAGGAAGGGATCTTCCCCTGCTTCCAGAAATACCCACTTCAGTGCCAGAGCAACGTGGTCCTACGGTTGTGCTTGGTCATTATCTTGTAGAGGCCATTTGGGACAACAAGTAGTCTTAAATTACCAACTCTTCAAAGAGAGGCTAATAAGACACAATCAGAGCCAAGAACAAAAGGGAAAAAGATCTTTCTTTCAGTAACCATCCCTTGAAGGAATGGGAGGAAATTGTACAAATCACCATCCACACAAAGGTGATGGCTTATGGACTCTATTTCCTAGGGAATGTTTCACTCCACTCAATTATTGTATCCAAGTGTTACTGATATAGAATTGACATGAAAGAATAGTCAGACATTTAGGCAAGTTTTTTTTTAAATTATTATTATTACAGTAGCAATTGCTGCAGGACTTAACTTTTTATAATTGCTTTCAAAGTGAAAACATACAAAAGGCCCCATCTGATGACCTTAAGCAGAAAAATTCATTGGAATTAACCGGGGCTGTACTCTGGATATAAGCAAAAGGATGATCGGGAAGAAGATTGCAAAGAAGTACGGTGTTGTATTTTTTCCAAATCAAAAACATGGCCTTGGCAGAACAACTCTCAAACAAAGAACAAACAACTCCAAGAGAAATACATTGGGCACAGTCCTGGAAATACCATAAAGCTCTTTTAACAATCTTAAGTAAAGTTCCCTTCAAGTTAAACTCAATTTCTGGATACTGTGTTTCTGAAATGGAGCGTTTTTTTTTGGTTTTTTTTTGTTTTTTTTGCTGTTGTTGTATGTAGTAGAAGTAGTATGTTATTGGTGTCTTTCAGGATGGTTTTTCATTTTCCGGTTCCAGTCTACAGCCTGGGATTTCATAGTAGTTTCTTTTTTTCAAGTAGAAGCAGGTCCAATCCTGCTGAGCTCTTATCAAGATCAACTGGGGCTTTCATCTAGTTCAAGCGTCTTAGACTAAGGCATTTTGCTTCTTTAAAGTTTGTCCGGCTTCTTCCAACTGGACCGTCTTTAGATATGTTGAAATAAAACTCCCATCATGCCAATCAACAAAGTCACTAGGTTAGTGTTTTATGTGATTGCGTACTGAAAATCTATTCTTGTAATACCTTGAACTTGTGTTTTACAAAATATGTATTTTATTTTTATTAAAATTATCTTTTACCGCAATAATCCCTTCTAATCCAGTTTACATAATACTTTACCAAAAATATAAAGTAGCAACATAGTAATAAAATCAATAAGTACCAGCAATAAAAAGTATCCAGTTTAGCTAAAAACTGTTTTAAAAAATTAGTAGAAAGCCTGTATTTAAATCCCCAGACAATTGCTCAGAATACAGATTAGAAAGGTAATATTTATTAATAGCCAAACATTGACCAAGAATCAAAATTATACTAAAATATACTACAATTATACTAAAATATACTACAATATACTTGTAGTAGGAAATATACATTTGACCATATACAGAGATGGCAGTAGAAAATAATTTAATAAACTTCAGTGATGAGAACAAATTTCCACAGAAGGAAAAGACCAGATGTCTTTTGTCCTATAGTATCCAGTGAATTTCAGTTGTTCAGAGAAACTGGGTTTTGTACTTTAGAGATTTAACAGTGTCATAGTGCTTCCACAAGGATTATACAACATTCAGTGCTAAACTATACTTTGTGAAATTCAACAACATGATGCCACAGCATACTAAGACAGGTTCTAGCATTGTCAGTTATTTTATATTTCTGTACTTTTTATTTTATTTTACAAAACTGTTAAATAGCATGGTTGATAAATAGAGAACAAATAGACATCCTTGTTTATAAGTGATAATTTTGCATAGCTATATTTTATCATTCTGCAAGAATTAAAAGATGCCCTATGAACCACAAATCATTATGTCAAGTCCAAAGTCTTGCCACTTTGCACAAGATGTACAGTCTAAAATCCAGCAAGCACATTCATCTTTATGAGTTCTCTTTTATTCAAGTCATGTCTTTCTACTAACACAGAATTCTGTTTTCATTCAGACAAAGGAGAATGACATCAATCTGCACTTGCAAAAGTAGTTTTATTTAGCTAATGTAGCATATGAACTTTTGGCTAAAAATTCTTTTTTTAAATATACATCTCTGTCATGGATATGCAGATATTATGGTATAGAGTCTCTTGCTTGAGCAGAGGGTTGGACTAGAAGACTCCAAGGCCCCTTCCAAATCTGTTAACTGTTATGATATCATAGCACAAATGACATAATGATGCATATTCCTAACTGCAATCATTTGTGCAATGATCTCATTATATCCAGGTAATGATTTTGATGACAGATGTTAAGATATATATATATATATATATATACACACAGAGAGAAATCAAGTATATTCAAGAGGGTTCCAGAGATTATTATAGATTAATTAAAAGAAAATTGGCATAGAATTTTTTGTGATTATATTTGATTCTAACAAAATACAGAAATTACACTGGCTATATATAAACCTGTTACAAGTCTCTGTTTATTTCTTACTTAATTTACACAATGTTCAGAGATTTTTTAAAAAATGTATTTATTTGAATTTATTAGCCACCCAACTCCAATGGACTCCAACTGGGGAAAAATACAAAACCATGTTTTGTTTTGTTTTCTTTTTTTTTAAAAAAGGGAAGATTCATAATAATGAAATATCCATTAACCATAATATTATAACTTCAACAACCCTGATCTTTAGAATAAATGTTTGTGGAATAAATCACATTGCCTCACAAACGCTGGTCTGTGTTAAAATTTAAATGCTCATTTGTCAACTACTTCAAACTTCATTTGACAACAACTCTGTAATGCAAGCATTGGGCCAGGCTGACATATGAATCCATTGTAAATATAAAATATATGAATTCCATGTCTTGTTCTTGACACAGGTGTATTTTGTTTTTCTATTGTTGGTTTTGAACTATTATTTTGTGGGGTAAGCAGACTATTGGCTGCCCTAAATCATTTTGCTATTATATACATTGAATTTTAAAAAATCAACTAGGCCCCCAAAAGTAATATCAAAAATAAAAGTCTGCATGCAGATGTGTGGTCATTGAAAAAAAGAAGAATTATATCCAAATGACATGCTGCTATGTTGCCCCTGAAAGCTGGATTAGAGAGAAATTTGGCACGTGGTAAAGATATCCTACCAGGCCTGTCGTAATGTTGGCTGCTGTGAGAAAAAAGGTCTGTAGGAGCCACCAGCTGGTGGATAAGCAGACAAGCTAAGGTGCACCTGCCAAAAACATATACCTGTTATCGCACATAGACCCTCACTCAAATCAAGGTGGCTTAATGGGAGCAAAGGGAATCAATGAAGCTTTTCCCACACACAACCTGACATCCCTTAATAGAGGCACAGAAGCCTTCCGTGGATGTCTGTCAAAGAAAAATCCCCACTAAATAAAGCTGTCAGTCATACTTCTTGGACAAAACAGAGGACATAAAGGATTACATCAATAAAACTCTAATAAATGACTGCAAGAAGGCTAAATGACATCAACAAATGCTATAGGTAGCTGCTTGTCTCTCTCTGGTTCCTTTTTTTCACTTCTCCTCAGCCATGTAAGGGAGTCTTTTTCTCACCAGCTTTGTCCAAAGATTAGGATTCCAGGACGAACATAGCAGGATATCTTGTTACTATTCAAAAATGTAACATTTCTCTTTTTATCTTACTAATGGTTGGGAATATTATTTGGAAAAAGGAAGGCAACAATGGGCACATGCACACATACATGGTCTCCTTATGATTCTTACTCAGGATGGCACATACAGTTAGTCCTCAACTTCTGACCATAATTGAGGCTCCAATTATAGGCGTAAGTTGTGATGCTTGTTAAGCAGATCATCACATGACCATACCCAATTTTATGACTTTTTATATACCATTAAGTGAACACAGAGATACATTATGGAAGTAAACCCTGTTTTTTGATAAAAACATTGTAAATTATGGGTCACGTGACTGTGGGATGCTGTAAATGGCCATAAATGCAGGCTGGCTGTTGAGAGCCCAAAATGCATTCACATGACCTCAGGGGAGGGGCAACTGTCAGAACTTTGAATCTGGCTCCTAAGTAAGTCCGTCATAATTTCAAAAGGTTGCTAAGTGACCACTTGTAACTACCTGTATAATGTAATTCTGAAGAATTACCTGGTTTTGGCCTACTGGTATGCTTTTGCAAATTATGTCATGGGGAAAAAAGCTAAGTCTTCTGTTTAATTCAGCTTTAATTTCTATACTGAAAAAAAATGCTACAGAACCAGGAAAAAGTCACTGATTTATTTTTGATGAAAGACTTCCAGTGAGGCAGATTAAATAGCAACAAATCTCTTCAGGGTTGTTTGTTTTCTGCAGTATCAAGACTTCTACATTAATCAGTTTTAAAACAATGGCCATGAAAATAAATGTACATTTATTCAAACATGCCCGTATACAATTACTTTAAACATTTTATTTTAACATTTTCTCATGGAAGTGTACTATGTACATTTCGTGCAGAAATCCTGATTCCTTGCTGGAGTAAAATATGCTTGTTTATCATATTTTCTTTTGTAAATAAATTATGTTTCCTGTCCATTATATAATATGATTTAATTGCCATAGTTCATTCATAATACATCCTGGCAATTGCATGTACACACCCAAATCCAGCTGATTTCAAAGGGGATCAAATATGCATAACTGTTTGTCATGCATTTAGGCACCATCCACCGGGAAGGTCTATGCAAGCCTCAGTTAAATGAATGGCAGTTGTGCAGAATATTTAAGTGCAATTCCAATTCATATCGACTAGGGATGTGAAACTAATGGCCCTTCAGATGTTGTTGGTTTATGACTTCCATTTTCCTTGACCAGAGGCCTTGCTTAGTGACACTTCCAGAGGTCCCAAGTCTTCCACCTCTGATTTGAATAGTAGGGGTGTTGTGCAGCTCCCGTTCATTATGGATGAGAAATCCCTGCTAGATAAATTTCATTGTCCTTTGGATGCTTCCTCTTCTTATGCATGTATAATACTTGATTCCAGCTGAAATGAAAATGAATATTGAATAAAGTTATTTCATCAAACACATTTCTATGAAGCCCAATTGTTCTCAAAAGGTATGACAATATCAGTTCTGCATTATTTAATCAGGATGGCATGTCTACATCAGAAGAATACTGGATATCTCTGAATCAATATGATTCAGAGAAAAATCAGCACAGATCCCTATAAAAGAGATCACTTGGTATCTGTATCTTATTTGCCTCTGAACCCATATTGTCTCCCTCAAATTATCTTTGAAGTACCACTTCTCCAAGGTCACTAGTAGTGATCAACAAGGCTCTCATTTTGTGTGGTAGACCAAAAGATACAAACACATGAACTAACTTCCAGTTTTACCCCTGAGCTGAAAGTTAATCTAAATTCAAGAACAAAAGTATTCATATTTGTCCTTGTATGTCAAGGATTACTACTATTGAAAGTGGTTTCCATTATCTGCTTGTCACTTTCTGAGCTTCTTAATCTCTTTCTTTTTTTCTCTTATTCAATGGTTGCCTCTTGCTTGCTTTCCCACTGCAGTAGTCTCTTCCCCCTTCCCTGCTTCTTTTCCTCCCTCCCTCCCTCCTTCCTCTCTTTATAAAGCTTCCCAAGTTAAAAGGACCAGCCTCAGCCTGACCACCTGGGCATAGCTATGGAGCTTACACTCAGGACTGGCCTCCAGCCAGTTGCCAGCTGTGACATTGTATGCAAGCATCTTACTTCATTCCATGCACTTGGATTGCACTGGTTCTGTTTACAACAACCTCTTGTCCCTGCTGTGTCCAATCTCAATTGTACTCTGTGTTCCTTGTTTAATTCTGTTTTGCAAATTATTAAGCACTGGAAGTCTATTAATCACAGTTCATGCCCCGTGCAAGCCCACACAACGAAGGGAAAGAAAGGTGAAGGCCAGATACGCTCAGATCCCTGAAAGAGCTTGGACGGTGGTCTATTCAGATCCCTAACGAGATCATTAATGCTAACTAAATACAAACCTGACCCCATGACCCCTTGGGAAATTATGTGGGCCCAGTGCAAGACATTAATATGTATCCCAACCCCCCTCCTCCAATTCCCTTGATAGGCTGAAAGCTAAACCTGCGATCAAAAGAAGTCTAATCACTGCTCTGATTGTAGTAAACCAAGCCGGACACAGAGATGTCTGGATCCTCAATAGCTATTGCAGTGCCACCCCACTGTCTTATCCACTCCTCCAGGCTTCGGCTCCAGCCAACAAATTGCAAAAGCTTTTCAGCTGAGCTGACACACTGTGTCTACTTTCTGGGACCACCTGGTAGGCTCTTTTAGCTCCGCACTCCCACTTCGTCCACTGCTCTCCCACATAGTCGAAAGCAAGCAAAACTCCTGCTCAATTCACTAGCCTTCTGGAAGAGTTCAAAGTAAACAAACAGAAACACATCGGATATAGTGCAAGATTAGATGATGCTATTCTTCGTGACATTGCCTAAGTTTCCTTGTTTTTAAAAAAAGGCTGGACAATAGGGTTGCTATAAAAAAAAGTTGCTCCTTTTTTGTGTGTGCATTTCCAGTCATAGCATTCTCCTAAACCATCCCTACAAGGAAAGCAGTACATATTTACAGTACTTGAAAGAGCAAAATATTCAGGGTTTTCTTTGCTCACTTATATTTCAGGCATATGAGCAGGCTGTCAAGCATATGAGCAAACTACTGCAATTCAATCGTACTTCAACAGTACAATCGAATTGCAGTAGTGAGCAACAAGGAAAACTTTCCAATACCATTCGTAAAAAATAAAATGCTACTTCAAAATATGCTAATTTGGATATTTATGTAATCACAGAAATTTCATAAACATTTTGAACATGTTTTCAAATTTAAAAACTTTAAAAATTAGTTTAGTTTTAAATTAGTTCTACTGAGTTAGAATCACCCTTCCCCAACAGAAATTCAAAGAAGATCAGTACAGCAATTTGCCAGAATCACCCACCCAATATTGCTTTCTACAACAGGCATTGAGGAAGCCATGAGTTGACGCGCCAGGAGGCTGGAAAGCACCTTGGTCAGAAAAGATAACTTCTCTAGAATCAATCATCCTGTACTGTGTGATTGAAGGATTGGAGCATGCATGACTTGTGCTATGTAACATGTATGACCTGTGCACTAGATGGAATAGACCATGTACGATTTGAACAAATGCCTCTGGTGCAATTTTATTCCCAAGGCTGCTCTTTCTCATTCCAAAATGCTGACCTAATTGGACAATAGAGACGGCCAAAAGTTGTAGTGAGCTGTCAAGCCATGCCTTATTTCTAGTAGTCCATCAAGTAGAGAAACATGTCAAGTGTACTGCAAGAGAATAAGGGGTTATTTTAAAAATCAGCTATGTTGTGTGAATTGTTAATGAATTGTTCTCAGTGCCACTGCAAAGAAAAGGATGGGTCCAAACAGAATTAGTTGTTTCTTCTTGCTTTTGGCTATTTTTTCTTTTGACCTATTCATCCTAATGGGCATCAGTCATCCCTATTACCTGTCGCCTTTTCATGACTATGTTTTATTAAAGTCTACTAGTTTGTAGTTGAATTGAATTACAACTGTTGCATTTTATTGTATTCATTCACTCTACTTTTTTATTTTGTGCAATTCTTTTCAAGAAAACGTTATAACCTGAGGGGGGGGGCTTAATCTGGAGGCACAAACATATTTTAAACAAAGTGCTTGTTCACACATACATGGGTAAACTATGGAGCTCACTATACAAGATATGGTCCTTGCCTTCAGTAGAATACTAAAAATTGATTAGACTGCTTCATGAAGGGTATGGATGTCAGTGGCTTCCACTACTTACAATATTGTCAGTACTGCTATATGTGTCTCAGTATTGGTTATGGGAATGGCTGGGCATAATGAGAGTAAAACAATGAAGAAAACTTTTTTTTTTTTTTGCTTTGATCCATTATGATGCTTTTTACATCAAAAACATTCTGCTCTCCTTTGGAACATATAATTCACTTCCTTTATCAAAACTATGCTCAATGTTTTGGTTTTAGAAAGTTTGTAGGGTTTTAGGTTTTGGTTTGGTTCTTTGATTTGTTTGGTTCTTATTTTTGTTTTTTGTTTTTTGTTTTGTAATGACCGAGGTTTAGTGCAAATCTCCTCCCCTCCCCCCCCATTTTCATTGGCTACCCTCTGAAAAATTGCGGTGCTGGGAGTGAGATAACAACCATAATGGTAATTATTTAATTTGTTCATTTAAGGCATTTTAACCCTATCCTTTAGGTACAAAACAGAGCAACTTACCTGTAGTATAGGAAATTAATCCAAGTCTATCATTTAAAGACTATGAAAAAGGAACAAAGAACATCAAGGGAAAAAACAGCTGGAATAATTTCAGTTTAGGAAAAAGAAAACCTGATAGGGAGATTTTTTTTTCAGCAAAGCTGACCGAGTGGTCTATCTCTGTTTTTATTTGCACAAGAGTTTTCAAGGGCATTATTTGGCATTGCCAAATAGTTTCAGCTGCTTTGGGAGAACCCCTTTCTTGTGTTTATTTGTCCCTCATTTACATAATATATTTGAATAATCTAAGAAAATTTAACTATCCTTGTGAAGAAAGCAGAGCTAGTTCATTGCTGTTCTGTTTCTCTTGTTTGTATGGTATGAAGTTGCATGCATCTACAAAAAAGGCAGGGCTTGCCTTGAGGTGGGGCAATGCTGCTGTCATCATTTTGATGAAGTATTCCAATGCTGTGGATATCTCTGGCAGGGAGCTATTGAATGGCTTGTACACAGGCCATTGAATGTAACTGAGATGCACTGAAGAACAAACCTTGGAACTTGTTACTAATCCTATACAATTTTCACTTACGAGAACTCATCCATTAGAACTCATGCAGAACATGTACTAGAGCTGTAAAAATCTAGGTGACCAGTAGATGGCAGGGGAAAAAAATAGACTCTGTGATCCTCTAGTGGTCATACAGATATGGTAGCCGTAAGGAAAATACTAGCTCCTGACCTCCATGTGCCGATCAATTCTTCTATATGCATATAGCTGTTTTGTTCTGTTTGGACAAATGAATATGCATTTTAATTTAATTTTAACTGTATGAGTTTGTAAAAGCAGCTTTTACAGATAACTATCCTATCCTCTTTCTAAAACACATACATACTACTGTACTTAATTAAAATAAAAATGGAACATAGAAAATAATTATGCACTGTTCTATTTACAGAGATGGTACATTTTATTTTAAGGGTTTTTACTTAATGGTTTGCTGGTATAAAGTACACCAATACAAATTAATATTTAAGCTGTTCCTATCTTTAGTCACTTTGCACAGTCCTTCTTTTGTTTCACATTACTATCTGGAACAAACTCTCCCTGATGCATTTCACTTAATACTTAGGATGATTTTTCTTGCATTCATCTCCCTCTCATCTGTACTTTAAGCAGAGAGTGTAACACAATCCACTACAACTAAAGACTCAGCTGAGAGTCAGATTAAAATTATCCCCATCTGCCCTGACCTCTCTTCACTGCAGGTGAGAGTGCTCCCCTTCACAGGCTAAATGAAGCAGAAATGATGAAGTGTTTGTTTTCCCTGACTTTTCCTCAGCCTGTCAGTAAATTTACAGGCACGAATATGGAGTGTTAATTTAATGTTCCCACTGAGCATCTTATTGTCAACAAAGCTTCAAACTATAGCGGAGGAAAAGGTTAGCTCATGCAGAAAATGACCCTTATGGCTTGATTGCCTCATGGTCTGGACTAACAGCAAGCAAAAAACAGAGAGATTTGACTTTCAGCAACATGGATTGGATGTTAATAAATGAAAGTTCACTACCTTCTCTTAAAATAGAAAAGCACCTGTAATGCTCACTAATTTATTATCTTTTCAGGTAATCTACCAAAGCGAAAGAGAAAATGAGCAGGACTCTGGTCACTGATTGATAATTTGTCTTAACCCCAAACTTAAACCCTTCATTAGTCACACCTTAAATGAAAATATTTGATCCTTGAAACTTTTTTGTTGTTTGTGCTTTTGTTTAAATAAGAAACAAATGACACCCTAGGCCAGGAAATTGCTTTCTTCACTAGAGGTTTATTTCTTTGACAGCACTGCTGACAGATTGTGTAGAAAATCCTACAAGAGTTTGAAACAGGTGCAGATAAACAGTTATTTGCTATTTTTTGTAGGCAAATTTAAGTATTTGTATGTTACTTTAAAAAAATGAATTATAATACATTATGTCAGGTGCAAATTTAAAAAAGTGAATAATTAAAGATACTATTCAGTGTGGGATGATTTTTACATGCAAGTTCTGATATCAAAATCTAAATTTTAAATTTTGACAGAAGTGTCAAACCTATCAGGGATGTTTTTTAAAACATTTGTTAGAGCAGCATTAAGCACCAAAAAGTATAGTTAACATACACAGTTACATGTTAGATTCATGAATTTAATGATATGTGTTCATACAACAGAAAACTGATTGATGAACATATAAGCCTGATTCTACCTCACACTGTTAAATTCCAGGTTTTGTAAATTCCAAATGGCTCTCCATTCATAGGATGTGTAACTTAAGATTCCTATTAAAGAACCAAGTATGAGGATGAGCTTAACATATTTACTCATTAAGATAAATTTTAGCTTAGAGCAGTGACACTCCCCATCCCCCATGTTTTAATAATAAGATCCATCACAAATGATGAAAAACCATAGAAAAGTCCTGAATGTTTTGGAGTATTTTGAACAAAGTAATGAAAAATAAATTGCAGTGGTATTTTTAAATGCAGAGAAGGCCTCTGAATATTTGAATTGGATTCTGTTGTTTAGAGTTGTGAAACATACGAACCTTGAAGATCTTATTAAATGGGTACTATCAATTTATATTTCTCAGAAACCACAAATAGTTAATTGAGAATTATTTTTTTATTATTTATCAAATGTATAAGGTATCCATCTCACTGATAAGGTGATTCTGAGTAGACTTTTTCTGAATGATATTTTTCTTAATCAACTAAAATGCTTTTATGGTAGTAAATCAATTTTTGTCCTTAAAAATGCCTACTGACTTGTCTTTGATTTGTGTGTGTGTGTATTGACCATTCTATCTGTTCTCTAAAAATATGAATATTAGCTTGTTCTCTTTATTGGACCTGAAAGATGAATGTATAACCTCAGAATCTGTTTTCAACGGTGAATATTTTTTGCTATATTGGGCCTGGATTTCACACCAACCATCTGAGACCACAGTTGAGTTGTTTGCTATAACAGGTGAGCCTACTGTATTCATAATTCACAGTAGACTAGAACTTCCAGATTGGTTGATTTGGAATTTTTTGGCTTTAAGAAATGACAATAACTTGCTTTATAAAAATGTGTTCCATAATTCAAGTCTAACCATATTGATAAAACCTTCCCTTACCCTGAGTTCCTCTCATCTCCAAATTCCATCCCCTTCCCCCTTTTTCCTGCTCCTCTTTCTTCTTCCTTTTTTTTTTCTCTTCCAATACTCCTCTGAGAGTTTCCTTCCTTTGTAATTTTTGCCAACCTGTCCAATGCCATTCCATTATTACTGGTCAACTTTTCTTAACAAGGTTAATCCCCCCAAACACAACAAACATCTTACATGTGACCCCGATCGTTCTAGCACATCCCAAATACATTATACCACCCACTACCAAACAGACAGGTTTTCAAAATATGGTAAAACAGAAATCACAATAATAAGCTGGTGCTCTGGCCACTAGGTCTTTAAATAGCTGGGTTAATGTTGTGGTGAGGACACAGCCAAAAGGTTTGCCATAAATCCTGGGAATAAGATCCTACAGTCAGGTGCAGAGTCCAGATGAATATGACTGTTGTAGTTCTTAGTGATGAAGAGTAAATGGTCTCTTGGGAATGGGGTAAGGAATTTATAAATTATAAATTAAATATTAAATAGTCTTCCTTGTTAATTCTGGGGCCAACTTGGAAATTCTGAAAAAGAATAAATATATATTTAATCTGCCTCTGCTATATTCTCATAATATTTAATGCTTCTGGCAGAATGGATTGGATCCTGTCTTTAGCTACTACCATATATAATTTCCTCATATTCATGAACTGTGGTCATTTGCTCTTCAAAATTATAATGTACACATTATCAAATGGATTGCAATTAGAAATCCATACTACAATTGGAAAATGTTAGATATAAAAACCATCCCATTTTTGCTAATCATTTGCCAGTTATGCTGTCGGTGAACAAGACTCAATTTGAAAGCAGCAGTTCATTCTCTACAATCCTTTCTTAACACAATTTTTAGCCTGCAATTTAGATGATAGGAAAATTATAACCTTCATAAGCTATATCTTGTAATATAAATGTTACTCAATTAAGCCAGTAAGGGGAGACTCTGGAAAACACAATGCTTCCTCTCTTTATTGTTGCCTTAAAATTCATTGGACCATAATGTGAAAGAAATGGGGTAAATAAGTGTATGCTAGCATAAATAACAAGAAATCCAAAAGTGACAGAAAAACATAAGAGGGAGCATATAGATTAGAGGATTTTAGAACAAGCTATCATGGCATGTGTGGATGAGGGCACAAACAAATGAATGATACAGTATAACCTGAAACATAAAATAGAAAGATTGCTGCCCTACGAGGAAACCTCCACTGACTTAGTCTTTATTGTCCCTTCGAGCTGAGTTTGTTTCATCTCTGCAAATTGTCAGGATGGTGTGCCTGGTTCACTCATGATCACACTATTTCCTGTTCTAATAAAACTGTGAGAAGTTGTTAAAGCAAAGAAGAAGCCACCCGGTGTATAAAACCAATCAAGAATTCCAATACAATCAGTGCTGACACTGGCTTAAGATGGTTTATACTGTGCTCAAATAAAAATGTTTCTTAAATTCCAATGAATGATATGTCAGGTGAAATGTCTAACTTGCTTGTATATCTATTCCATACTACCCTGCAAGGGTTAACCCAACCACACAACCCATTATCCCCATAGTCCCACCTTACCTCAAAGCTCCTCCCTCTGAGTACAAAAGGCCTCTCCCACGTGGTCATCCAGCAGTTCCAGTCCCACATCTGTAAGGAAAGGACATAGGTCAGATACAGATGTAAAAGTAAGTTGATTCTATATTTGAATATTTAATAAATATGCTATTAGAAATACTACATTGTGTCTGGAGTTATTTGGGCTAGATCCATCAACCTAACAGAATGGTAGGGGAGGATGGTTGCCCATAACTCTGAATAATGACTGAACAAGCTGCTTATTCTGCAAAGAAGAACAGAATAAACACCAGAGCTTTTACCAGGCGAATGGCTGCACAACTGACGCCCGGAGGTACCACACCAAGAACCACACTGACTGAGAGTGAGCAGGACATCAATCTGGACTCACTACCCAGGGACGAGAGACAACAGGAAACGGCAATCAATCAAAAAAGGGACGCTTCGCAAGAAAGAGATGAACTCAGGCTATCCATATTTAAAATGATGGAAGCGCCTACCAGCAACAAAGAGCTCATCGTGAAACTCCAAAGCCTTCTAGAGAACTGTGGAGCAGCGATGGAAGCCCAGGAACAAGTCCAAGAGACCACCACTCTGGTAAGAGAGGGGCTCTTTCAACCAGACGCACCAGACCTAGCCGAATCCATTTTCGCGCCTTCTTCCTGGCGGCCATCTTTGAATGTCCAGCAACCAATGAGAAGCCTGGATTTGAATCCAGTGGCGCAAACTAGCAAGAACCCGAAAACAAACGGAGGATATTCCAAAAATGACAATGAAGAACAAATCCAAAACACCAGGAGCTTGCCTACCAAGCTCGAGATAGAAAAAGCCATTGAAACTTTAGCGGCAGCGTTCGGCTCCACTTTCAAGCCTCCCCGCCAACCGCAAACTGCGAAGAGACTCCAGAGAGCCGGAGAGCTAACAGAGCGACCCCCGACAACGAAACATCGAACTCGTCCCATCTGAGGGAGACAACTCTCGCTGGCAACGACCACTGATCGATGGCGGAAACCACACCGGTCCCACGACGAACCCCAAATGCGCCGCACTACCTGCTACTGGCTCGAGACTCGAGGGAAGAAGAACAAACCAGGTACTCACCTATCCTGCGACCTCCACTGGGCTTCCCAGCTCACTTCGCGACCAACGCCTGTGGATCCGCCGCCGAGCCGCCAGACTCCTGGAGACCTCGCCCAACGACCGCGGAGTTCCTGAGCTTCCCGCCGACGTCCAACGAAGACCCGGTCATCCAGGAGCAGCTCCGGACATCCAACACCCAGCCCAGGTACTCCAGGGGTGAGTCCGACCCTCCCCTGGCAGGCCTGGGCCTAGACCCAGGAGCCGCGGCCGCGAGCTCCTCACCCGGTGACTTCCAGCAACAAATGAGCTTCGTGCATGCTCAGTCTTCACCTGCTGAGAGAGAAGAAAAAAATATGACTGCCTGTTTTTTTAACCTAACTCAAGCATACCAATACCCTATTGTGAATTCACTCACATCCAGGACCATGGACAACTACCCTCTGTAAGTAATAATTCACACAATTCTGGGACATTGCCAATTAATTTTCCTAAGCTCCTAATAGATGGGAAAAATCTTTTAGAGTGGGGCCAACAATTACAAATAATATTTATGAGAGAAAATGTATTTTTTCTAATTTCCAAACCACCCAAGAAACCTTGGTCATTTGAAATTGATTGTATTCACCACAAGGCATTTTGTTTATTGTTAACTAGCATTTCACCTGCAATGTACCCTAGCATAGGTAATTATCTGACAGTTTACAAGGTTATGCAAAAACTTTATGGTCTTTTCTACAGCAGGAGTAGAGCCACCACTACAAAGATATCTAGGGACTTTCACTCTGCCAGACTCAGGCCAGGAGTCTCCATGAGTGAGCATTTGTTAAAGCTCAATGCTACCAGGGCCGAATTGCTTCAGAGAGGGAAAGCAATTACAGAGGAAAGCATGATGAGCATAATCATAAATTCATTAGACCCTAGCTGGGACAATTTTGTGACACAACTAGACAGTCTCAGTATAGAACACATATCTTTAGACACGTTCACCAACCGTTTAATTGCAGAGGATAACTTAAGGAGGGATCGTCACCTAGCTAGAAAGGACCCCAGACCAGCTAAAAGGGTTGAGTTCCAGGACAGAATAAACAGTATCCCAGAATGTTTTTCCTGTGGCTCCAGGAACCACTTAAAAAGAGATTGCCCCAGAAATAACAGGGACAGGGGATACAGTGATCGTAGAGAGAGACCTGAACCAGGAAGGAGGTACCAGGGGAGATGCTCACCAGACCGAGGACCAAAGAACGAGGATGTAGGTGGTCCCCTAACCCCAGACGAGCTAGCGAGCGTAGAGACAGCTCCCGGGACAGCAACACAGGATCTATATACGGCTTTAGATACAGAGAACCAACCCTTAGCCAAAAGGAAAGACAGAATATATGGCTCATAGACTCAGGGGCCACCAACCACACAACATATAATGAAAAATTATTCATCTCCTTCATTGAGATGAATTTTGTGATAAAGGTGGCCAAACAAAGTAGTGCCAGAGTTATGGGAAAGGAAAACATACACATCCCAGGAACAGGGGAAATAGAGGGGGTATTATTTGTGCCAGAGATTCCATATAATGTATTAGCCACCACAAGACTAAGCCAAGACACAGACACTGAGGTGCTATTCAAGGGAGGCAGGGGGTACATATCCAGCAAAGGGGAAAACGTTGGGGAAATAACAATACATGGTGGGCTACCATACTTCATACCAAGCAAGAATGATCAGAGGTGCGTAAACGTAAACACTGCTAATGAGGGAACAGGAAATAGAGAAGCAGAGGGGGTCAACCAGGAAACCACCAAATGTAAATCACCTCGCAGAGACACAATATACATAGGAAAGCCCATTCACGACAATTGTGCTCACCTCCTACATAGAAGACTAGGCCACATAGGATTTCCAGTTGTTAAGAAAATGTTAGAGTGTACCGAGGGCTTAAAAGTAAAAAATTGTGAAAACTATCTTGAGTGTTCTGTCTGCAAGTGTTCAAAGATCAAAGTCAAGCCAAGGCCAAAGAAATCAGGGCGAACCACTGACTCCACCTTTCAATTAGTACACATGGACTTGGTAGGCCAAATGAAGCCATCTATCAGGTACAGGGAGAGTTTTTTTCTGACCATTGTGGATGATTATAGCCGCTATGGTTTTGTGTATACACTTAGACACAAGAACGAGGCATTCCAAAGGTTCAAGGAATTCTATAAGAGGGTGGAGGTCCAACATAACACTAAGGTCAAACAGATAATGATGGACCACGGTTCTGAATTCATGGCCAGAGACTTTTCAAAGTGGCTGAAAGAACGTGGCATATTATACTTCACCTCTTCGCCTTTTTCTGCCTTCCAAAACGGAATGGTAGAGCATAAAAACAGAGTGCTTCAAACCATGATGAGGTGTGCCCTAGAGGATGCAGGAATGAGTCAAGCGTTCTGGTCAGAGGCACTACACTATTCAAACTACACATTGAACAGACTTTGGTCTAGCTCAATAGATAAGACCCCATATGAAATAATGCATAAGAGGAAGCCTAATCTAGCCCACCTGCATGTATTTGGTGTCCCAGCAGACGTTCACATACCCAAACAATTAAGGAGGAAAGGAGACAAGATCTCCAAGAGACTGAGATTCATGGGGTATGAGCCGGGGACAAAAGGCTTCAGATTTATAGACAGCAACAATAAATTTATAGTGTCACGATCAGCGGATTTCCATGAACATTCTAACTGGTCAAAACTACACTCCAATGACATTTTCCTTGGTGGAAATAAACACGAACACAGACTAGAGGAAGTAGACCAGGCCACTGAAAGAACAACAGAAACCAGAACACACAAACCCAAGCATCACGAACTCAAGGCTGAGGAATGGAAGGAAGAGCACCCCACACTAAGTTTAGACAGTCTCACAGACAAAGAAGCCCAGTGCCTACATGAGACGAATACGCCACCTGACAGACCAGTCAGGACAAACAGAAACAAAATGCCAAAAAGATTTGAGGACTACGTCATGTCCATGCAAACCAACAACACCACACCCAGCTCCTATGAAGAAATACTCAATCTTCCCCAAGAAGAAAGAGAAAAATGGGAACAAGCCATGGAAAAGGAGATGGAGAGCTTCAAAGACCTACAAGTATACACACCAGCCAAAACACTGGAAAATAAAAAACCAATCGGAACCAAGTGGGTATACAGGATCAAAACACTTGAAGACAACAAAGTATTATACAAAGCAAGACTGGTTGCGCAAGGCTTCACCCAAAAATACCCAGAGGACTATACAGATACCTACTCGCCCATGGTTAGGCCCGAGAGTGTCAAGAGTGCCCTAGTGATAGCCACAATCCTAGGGCTGGAAGTATTCCAATTTGATGTACAAACTGCTTACCTACATGCTGAATTAGACAAAGAAATCTATGTCAAGGCTCCACCCGGATTTAATAAAGGAAAGGACAGCACATGGCTCCTGAACAAAAGTTTATACGGCCTCAAACGGCAAAAGGTGGTATGACTGTTTGGCCAAGGCCCTCAAATCTATGGGCTATACAGCCACCTCAGCTGACAAATGCTTCTTCACAAAAAGAGAAGAGGACTCCATTGAAGGTGTCCTTGTCTACATGGATGACATATTGTACATAGGGAGACAAAAATCGAAATGTGATATATTTGCCACTGAACTAAGAAAACACTTTTCATTGAAGTCACTGGGAACAATAGACAAGTACTTAGGAGTCCAGGTAACCAAAACAGACAAAGGTTTCCGACTCTCCCAAAAAGAAAAAATCACAGAACTACTGCTAAAGTGCAACATGCCAGAAGCCAAACCCAGTGAAACTCCCATGCAATCAGACTTCTTAAAAAACTTGTATAACGATACGGAACCTTTCACAGATAACAGATTGTACAGGTCCACCATAGGCTCGCTACTGTACATAGCCAATTGGACAAGGCCGGACATTGCCTTAGCAGTCAACCTATTATCCAGGCATGTCAGCCAACCTTCAACCTTCCACTGGAACACCATTAAAAGAATACTCAGATATTTAAAATACAGTATTGATGCCCACTTGTGCCTTGAACCCAACCCATCTACAAAACCAAAACTGTCTTGTTACGCAGATGCCAATTGGGCGGGAGACATCAAGAGCAGGAAGAGCACTTCTGGTTACATCTTCTTCCTTAACGACAGCCCAATACACTGGTACACAGGTAAACAAAAACTAGTAGCAACCTCCACCACTGAGGCAGAATTTGTTTGTATGTCTAAAGCTGCCAATAACCTAATTTGGTTCGATGATTTACTCAACGACATCTGGACAGAACCGTCATACCCCATAATCATTCATGAGGACAATAAAGCGGCCATCGAGATATCAAAAGCCAACGCTGTGGGTCAAAGGTCACGACATATAGACATAAAGCATAAGCATGTTAGGCAATTCTCAGAGATCGGGTTCATTAAGGCTATACATTGTGACACAGAGGAGCAAACAGCAGACATACTCACAAAACCATTGCCACACAAACAGCACACATATCTCATGTCGAAAGTATGTATATATATGTAAATTGCATGCGTATTTGTATGTAGATATATATGTATATATGGGTATCGTAAATATGTCACCAGTTAGACATTTAGAGGGGGTTTTGTCAGGTGAAATGTCTAACTTGCTTGTATATCTATTCCATACTACCCTGCAAGGGTTAACCCAACCACACAACCCATTATCCCCATAGTCCCACCTTACCTCAAAGCTCCTCCCTCTGAGTACAAAAGGCCTCTCCCACGTGGTCATCCAGCAGTTTCAGTCCCACATCTGTAAGGAAAGGACATAGGTCAGATACAGATGTAAAAGTAAGTTGATTCTATATTTGAATATTTAATAAATATGCTATTAGAAATACTACATTGTGTCTGGAGTTATTTGGGCTAGATCCATCAACCTAACATGATAAGTAAAAGTTTTCTGAAGAAGAAGATGGGTGGGTAATGAGAGTATGCCCATCCCAAACTATCTTAAATCAATGATTCTGATGTGACTGAGAAGCATTTCAGGGATACTGCCATGACCATATCTATTTGCTGAACTAGGTTGGGCATGTAGGCACTGTCAGGTAAGAGGCAAGTAAGTAATGCTATGTTTTATATAATGTTTCCTTGAATTGTCTCTTGTACTCTTCTAGAGCTGTCTTAATTGTACAGAAATATTTGAAAAAGCTTTGGTGGGATATCCTCTCTGATTTCTAAATCTTTTATAATTTCATACTCCCCCAATCAGATCTTATTATTTGCTGGACACGTGTGGAAAAATACAGAAAGGTTGAATGATGA